CATGGCCTCCAACCTAATAGCCATGGCCTTCAACCTAATAGCTATGGCCTTCAACCTACTAGCCATGGCGTCCAACCTAATAGCAACGTCCTTCAACCTAATAGCTATGGCCTTCAACTTACTAGCCATGGCCTCCAGCCTCCAACCTAATAGCTATGGCCTTCGACCTACTAGCGATGGCCTCCAACCTAATAGCCATGGCCTCCAACCTAATAGCGCTGGCCTCCAACCTAATACATCACTGCAGACGAGGGCCTCGCCTGGCGCTTCTTCAAAGCGTATGATCAGAAGTGTCACGAATTGGTGGCGGGCACTTTGTTGAAGAATTCCTTCCTGCCCAAGGGACATGCTGCGCCGCCACAAGCCCTGACAGGGCTGCTCTCTCTGATATCGAGAAGCTTGCGGCCATTGCGTTCATGGCCACCGAAGGCAAACAGACCGAGCGCGTCAGTGGAGAGGAAGTCTTCTTCGAAATATGCGGATGTGAGCGGGTGTCCTGGTGTCTATGTAGCGCCCTGGTGTCGTAGAGCCACACCACATGCTTTTGATTTTCTGTCGGTGCATTCTTGCAAATGAAAGGGCTCTGAAAACGTGGACTTTTGGATCGGAGACATTGCGGGCGCCTGTGAGAAGACCCTCCACATGAAGTGCGAGATGTCTTTCGTGAACTCAGAGGCGGAAGCGTGGTCGGACTTTGTGGGCGCATCGAAGCAGCGAGAAGCTTGCAGAAGGAGCTTGACGTTTTGTCCAACGCCATGCTGTCAAAGAAGCTGGAGCTTGAGTCCATGCAGATTACCGCAAAGCAGATCAAGGAAGAGCTGCAGGGATCAAAAAGGACGCAGAGCCTGGGCAGCCTGCCTCCCCATTGCCTTAAGTTGCGCCAAAGCATGTTGGCGTCATTTTTAATGCTGTGCCCACAAGAAAGAGCACGAGCCGATTTTTGATGATTTTTGTAGGTAGGCCAATCATCTGATCGGCGTGGTTCAAGAACAATGCTTGCTGTGGACTTCAGTCATGCTGATTGTACATCGTACATCTTCGCACTGTGACAGCCAAAAGCAATCAGATTATGGCAGCTTGTCCAACAGCGATTGACGTGTCTATTATTGTGTATCAGTCAACTCAACAACATATATTTCATAAATTCATATTCTATCTGTGTAACTGCAACTCCACTTTGCTTGCACTTAGAATATGGACCAAATAGTTTCTTGGATTTGGTTCATATTCTATCTGTGAGTCCAGTACTATAGATATATATCTTAGTCTATTCACTCACTCATAGCATATTCACAAAACACTATTGACAGTCTATTTCCTGTAAACAGGCAACAGGATATAAATAGGCCTTTTCCTTCCTGTTGTTTGTGGTTTGACCCCAAGAAGATTTTTTTGGCCACGAACTATTCAGAAATGTTTCGTGTCAATCCTGCCATGCTGAAATAAGAACTCAAAAGAGAGAAGACATGTTTCAGAAAAGATACAGCCTCAGACTCTGAGAACGGTCCACAGTAAAACTCTCATAAAGGACAACTCAGAAAGGAACACATCTCTCAGGAAAAAAATACTTCGAAAGAAGCGCATCCCTCACTAAACATCTCAAAAACGAACTCAACGGAAATCACAACCCTCAGAACTACATCTCTCAGTAGCAAGTTCTCGGAAACCGGAAACCATGAGAAATCAGACTGCAAAGTGCTTAAACGACAAACTCCAAGTGCTACGACATAGCTTTGTTGCTCGATCTCCAACAAGAGCAGTTAACGCCAAGTGCTTCCCAGCCTTCGACCGGCCGAAGGTTGACCCACATGTAGATGACCGGATGACCAGATTGCACGCCCATCAATGCAAAGTGCAATGCCGCGCCCATGCCACGCCCATGCCTTGTGCTTCACAAAGTTTGCCGCTTGCTCCATGTCCGAAAGCGCATCACAGCCAATGATGGATGCACTGGATCCTCAAGCTCCTCCCAGCCTTCGGGAGAAGGCATCCTGCCGAACTTCCATGGCACATCCTGCCCGCACCATTGCTAGGGACAAAGACATCGACGAAAGAGCTGCACGCAGCGCCTGTGGCTAGTTTGCAGCCAAGAACAAATCCTCAAATTTGCACATCCATTTCCAGCTGCCTTCCATCTGCCATGGTGCAGTTCATGATTGCTTTCATCTCCCGAGCATGGACCTTGCAATGCTACTATCCATCGTGGCTGGAGCAACTTATAACACTTGGTGCTAACAAGTTCTCTCAAGCAAAAGCTTTCCAGACACAAGGGCATCGCTACTAGTAACAAGTGCATCGCTACTAGTAACGAGTGCATTACTACTAGTAGCAAGAAGCTACTAGTAACAGGTGCATCGCTAAGAGATCTCCGAAGCAACAGTCTCTCTCTCTCTCTCAAAAGTAGACCTTTCCTGACAGACGCTCTCTTTGTCAAACCCCTTACTGAAGCATTCTACACAACCTCTCACACGGATACAGTAAACCTATAGAAACTTGAACAGTCAAACATGTTCGTAAGTTTCAAAATTGACTATTAATATCGTAATCCCTAACCATCTTGACAGACTACAAAATAGACTATAGTGTGTTTATCGAGGTTTATTGTATGGTTGTACTTTTCGTCTATGAAAAGACTATCCGGAGCCTTCGGATATGTATATGGTACCCCTCCTCTGAGATTCGCCTACCCCCTGAGATCCACCTTTGATGCTCTTCCAAAGACTTGTACTTGCACACGATCAGACTTGGGATTTTCAAGTCTCAACAGCTGTCAGACTTGGGATGCTAGATTCCGATCCCTGGATTGAAGATTGAAGATGTGAAAAAGAATTGCTCTTGGCCAGAAAGCGTCAATCCATGGATCCAATTGGCTTGTGAAGTCTGGAACTGGGAAGAGTTATATCACACAATGAATGTGGGATCTCAAGTCTGAACGCTGAATCTCAAGTCTGAGCATGGGACCTGCATGCTGAGTTCCACCACCGTATTTTGCACCTAGACCTAAAACAGGGTCAGTGAGATTGACAACAGCAACTTTATAAAAGCTTTCATCCCAGAAGCTTCTCTCTGGATCTCTGGGAATGATCACTTCTATATTGAAAAGCTTTACTTTAAGCTTTCATTTTGGGGCTTCTCCTGGTGGACCAAAATTATGGACCCTAATTACATTCTAATTGAGTTCACAGTCGAGTTCTCGTTCAAATATAAGTGAACTCTTCGTAAATAATCATTGCGGTAAATGTCGATTTCAATTGGTGTCTAATTGAGTCCTGATTGGATTCTGCTTCAAAACCAAATTGTTCAAATTAAGCTCCAGCTAAATTTTAGTTGAAAACTAATTAAATACTAATCGTTTCCTAGGTAAATTGATATAATTGATTTGGTGTTCTGAATCAATGCTAATTGAGTGCGGGTTGTTAAATTCCAACTTAAGTCTGATTGAACTCTAAGTATTGCACTAGGGTCACCAGCGCAAAAGCTGTCATTCCAAAAGCTTCTCTGCATCTGTGGCAATGGCCACTTCTTTATTGAAGAGCGTTTTACAAAAGTGTTCATGTCAAAAGCAAAAAGCTTGATACAAAACCTTTCATTTCAGCAGCTTTTCTCTGGATCTCTGGAAGCGATCACTTCTATATTGAAAAGTTTGATACAAGAACTGGCATTTCAATAGTTTTTCTTCGGATCCCTGGATATAAGTCCAAAATTAGGTAAAGTATAGGCCCCAAAAGATTGAAAGTCATCTATTACATTACCCTATTTGTCCCTGTTTTCTCTCTGTTTGATTCCTCTGTTGGATCCATATCACAGCTGGCAACTTTTCCTCTACAGCATCTACACTTCATGCTTTCTAAAGCAGCCTCCTTGCATCCTATGCAAATCTGCTTCCATATGCAAATACCCTTGTGTCTGTTTATGTGTTTGTTCTGTCAAGTCTATTTGGGACCTCCGTTTGCAGGTTCTGGGTTGGAAGGAGGAGCGCGAGGAGCTCGAGGAGCTCCAGCCCACCAGGCAAAGCGCGAGGAGCCCGTGTATCATTGAGGAAGTAAGTGTTGGGTGATGGTTGCAGTTTTAGTTTTCAACCTTCACATTCGGATCATTGAGCCCGCCCACTTATTTTTTGGGGGTAAGTGAATTAAAACCAACCAGCATTGGCGTCATGGAGGGCGACCGGTGTTTCTACTCATTTTCTGGACTCTTGGTTACTCCCATCTATCTGATCCGAAAGCATTTCTCCAGCGGCCCTGGCCTCGCAAGGCCGATGCTCCGGATTCCTTGTTGCAGAGGCTGGCCCGGTACCAGCCCGAGCTGGCACCCCAACTCCTCAGGCGGAGCCCGGGAGTTTTCTGCGGCTTTGACCGGGGGCGAACGGGAGAAACCGGTGGAGGTCGACGGCAAGTTCGCAGCTGTTGGGCCTCCGAGAGAGGCGGTGACACCCAAAAAGTTCTCAAGGGGAAGGGCGGCAAGTCAGTTTCAGTCAAGCGATAGCGTTTCGCAGATGCACGAGGTGCGTTGCTTGGTGCCGTTTTTGCCAGTTCGCTGGCCCGAGCTTGGAGGGAGCCATTGGACTCGGAGACCACGGCACTTTCCCCAAGCCGCACGAAGTGTCCTACTCAGGAAAAGTGGATCGCCTGCCCAGTGTTGAAGGTTCGTTTCCCCACAAAAGATGGACAGTTTCGGTGAACCTCGCTCTAAGACTAGGGAGACTTTGCTAGGAACATAGACCAGTCTACCCAGCCAGGGCCAGGGGGTCTCTCTATTAAATACGAACTAGTATAGAGCTCACAGTCCCAAATTGATAGAAACGATGTCCAATACATTCGGTTTCTTCTGTTCTATCTATGTGGGGGTCGCTATTACAGATATATATATATATATGGTTCGGGAGTCAGGTGTCCGATTCTCTTCGGGGTCTGGATCCCCTGAACGCGTCTCGACGGTTTGCGTTCTCGACGCCATGCTGAACGCCTGGACGACTGGAGTTCCAAACTCTGCTCGGTTTGGCTTGGTCACAGTATTACAAGAGCCGGGGTGACCAAGGGGAGCTGCCCCAGACAGCACCATGCTTAAGCATCCCGGATGAAGAGTATCCCCCAATGCCCTTCAGCAAGCGAAGAGCAGGTGTCCTCTACTTGACACCTCCACGTCACCAATTCTGCATGTCCAAGCTGTCCTGGCCCTGGCATCATCCTCTCCAGGCGAATTGAACATGAGGGCTCTGACATTGTGGCACAATGTCTACGCTCTGAGCCCTGGCAGGTCATGGTACGACCTCCTTGTTTCAGGGGGTCGGGGGCAGGGCTTCGAGAGACCAACACCGTCCAGGGGCATCCAACACCATTGGTCGTTTGAAGCGGGAGAAGCGACGAGGCTGCAAGCTAGGGCCAAAAGGAAAGACTAAGGGCTCATAAGGGCTCCATGTGGAGGTACGAAACATGTCGTTCTTGCTGCAAAAATACCTCGCAATGCTTTCAAGGTCACGTTGGAGACTCCAAAACCTTTGATCGGCCACTGGGTGTCTTTCCTGTCGCCCTTGGTTTTGCAAAGTGAATGGCGCCTCAGTTGGCAAATGATTTGCACATCCACCAACACATGGCCACTTGAAATATCGCCTGTCGCCAGAAGATGTGCTTTGCTCAGAAAGCCACCGCCGGCACGACACGATGTGCCATCGCCGTCGGTCGAAGATCACGACGGTTCGGTGGCACGGCGGTTCGAAGAGCTGCGGAGCTGCGGAGGTTTGGTGTTGGCTGGTTTTTGTGTTGCTCAGTTGCTCGCCTCTGGGGGTGTGCATTCCTGCTCCTGGTTGGCGGTGTCAAAGGGCAAGACCAGCAGCGTCTGCTTGGTTTCACCGGATGAGGCGTTGGGGAGTTGAATCGTCCGCCAAAGATCGTGGAACATTGGAACATTGGAATCCAAGGCACCTGGGAGTCGACTTCCACCGGAATCGAAACATGACTTTGTTCCCAGCTGGGATTGCCGATCGATGCTGATCGTAGTGCTTCTGCCAACCTCACGAGGATGGTCCTTATGTCTTTCTGGTGAAGTTTGTGGGGACCACAATGAAGTCAAAGAGTTCTCAGCAACTCTTCCTGTACAGGTGGAAGATGGTTGGGTAGACAACGTTCTGAAGGGTCAACTCCAGGCGTTGGCTTTGCCGCATCCCTTGACCTCCGGCATGATGACTCGCACTGTCGGAAGGGCCCAACACGAGAAAACGGGAGACGACGCACCGGCAGCGGAATTTTTCAGACACCCAGAATTGATGGAGAATGAAACCTTTTTGGTGACCCAACATGGACCGGTGAGCGAGAGAAGAACATACAGAAACACGGAGCCCTTGATGTGTATGAAGCCACGAGGGCTCCTAAGATCAGGTTCCTGGTTCCTGAATGAAGGTTCATTCCGACTCAGGATTCGGCCTTGCGACGGCACATGGAAAGAGCTTTGGAAGAGCTCTTTGCGGATGAGGCACTCGGGCTGCTGGGAGCAGTCCTGTCAGGGGATGGGCAACTTGTTGAGACAGCAAGCAGTGCAGTAGCGCAGTAGCTGCTCGTCAAGAAGATCAGGGTCGATGATGTCATGTAGACTCTTGAGGACCATAACCCCCCATATGAAGAGGATGTTCCATTTCAAACGGGGGTGCTTTAACTTATCAAGAGTCTACATGGCAAATTGCTTTTGACTAGGTGATTCACCTTCAGACCCCCTTGCAGTTGGGTGTAGAAAAAGACTGGAGCACGAGTGCTTGACACTCTGTCCTTGAAGACCTGGAGGATCTTCCTGGAATGGACCTGTTCTCTCAAGTCCTCCCAAGTCCGGCGACTGGGACCGAAAAAGGATCCTTTTTCGAAGTCCAGCGACTGGGTCTCTGGGCCGTGCGAACCTGCGCTGTTTGCTTCTCCGGTTTAACCGGGGCGTGGCTTGGTCCGACGGTTGGCTCCGTCGGCGGAAGGAACGGGTTCCGAGGAGCGGACCAAGTGCCACGCTAGTAGTAACAGGTGCCTTACTAGTAGTAACAAAGAAACTATTAGAAACAAGTGCCTTACTACTAGTAACAATAAGAGTTTAATTAGAATTCTAATTACTAGCTTCTTGTTACTAGTAAGGCACTTGTTACTACTAGCGAGGCACTTGTAATTACGGCGTCGGTGGAACCGCATCGGTCGAGGACCAAGCCCAAGCTGACTCTGCAGAACTCGGCCGGGGCAGCGGGAGCCATATGCTGCCAGGGCAAAGGAGAGAAGATGGAAAGAAGATGGAGGGTCAGAGTATCTCAGAGTTCTTGTTGTTGTTCTTTAGACCGTTTAGACCTTTCTTTTTTCCAGTTATTGGGTTGTTTTTGTTCCAATGGAGTCAGAAGGCTCCACGCCCGAGCTCTTCGGGCTCCGAGAGGAAGACGTTTCCGTTGAAAAAGAGAGTGAGAGAGAGAGAGAGAGAGCCTTCTTTACATTCATAATCGTTTCCTATTAGTAGGTAACTGTTTTTCAGAAAAAATCGAAGATCATGACAATGGCATGGACCTGTCGTTTTGGATAGACTATGTCATGAAGCGTCCCTTTCTCGCCTGAAAGGCCAGCCTCTCGCCTGAAAGTAGGTGTGACCCGAAGAGGAAAACGTGTCCAACTGCAATGAAGCACATTGAATATGTGATAAATCCGTGTCCCAGTGATTTTCCGTATCGCCGTCAGTTAAAGCCGATGATCATGTTTCTGTTGAGAAAGGCCTGCAACCGAAAAGAGTCATCATCCACTGCGGAACCTGGTAATGCGATATGTCCAACATGGAAGTGAAGAACCACCACCTCCTCTTTGGTACTGTCAAGGTCATCCTGCTTCTAGGCCATTTTCCATCCACGAAAAACATGCTTTCACAGCAAATCGGTGACATCAAGAACGACCCTTCTGGAAGCCACACAGGTGGCTTGTGGACAATGCGCCTAGCCGGTGGCAGCCGATGATTCTCAATCACCAGACGGCTACCCCGTGTGAAGTCCTCTACTAGCTTCTTGCTCCGTTCGTAGCGATGGCCTCCAACCTACTTGCGATGGCCTCCACCTAATAGCATCCTTGCTACTATAGTAGCGATGGCCCTTTCTTCCTAGTAGCGAACATTGCTCCGTTCATAGTGAGGCCAGGAGTTCGCTTCGCGTCCGACCGCTACTGCTCCACTCCGGTGAGGAAGACCTTGGCGATCTCCAGCCGCCCGAAGGCGACGCGGCGGTCTACAGCGATGGAAGAGAAGAGAGACGTAAACGGCGGGGCGGGCGGTCCTCCAAAGCTGTAGCTGGTGGCTGCAGAACTTGCTATACCATCATAAGGTGCTATAGGTTTTGATGACTCGCCTGCAACTGTTGTGGTTTAATGCAGACGTGATGTGCAGACCTTGGTGCTAGATCTTTGCATACCACTTAGAAAGACTACTTCCGGCTAGCCGGGTGTCCGCTTCCGAACCGGCTTCCGCACCGCCGCGGAGCTCCAGGTCGATCCGGCGATCCGCTCCATCCGATCTTCAGCGCCCTCAGTGCCTCGCTCCTTCCGGGGGTTCAGTGGAGGGGATCTCCGGGACGGTCAGTAGTTCATGTCATACTAGCGAATGGCCTCCAACCCACGGACAATCAGCAGTTCTTCCTCCTTTTCAAGAGGGAGCCCCCGGCTCGACTCACCAACGACCAAGCGGTCTTCAAACTGGCAGATTTCTGGTCCATGTCTTCTCCTTTACCCAGTCAGGCCAGTCTGGCTCAGTTCGAAACGACTTCACTTTATACAGTGGTTTCCGAGGTTCAACGGCACTCGCACCCCAAGATGTCATAGATGGGGGGTCTACTGTCCACAGCCACCGATCTACAATTTGGGGGGCGAGGTCCCATCGAACCTTTGAAACCACTGGAATGATACCTTCGTGATGCATCTTCCAAGAACCGACACCGTTTGAGGTGTCGAAGAAAAGAGTTCCCTTGAAATGAGGTGATTTGGAGTGTCCAAACACCAACGCACTTGGTTGCCTTTGTGTTTTATCAGTAGCTTCTTGTTACTAGTAGTAATGCACTTTTTACTAGGTGCGATGCCCTTTGCTCCTAGTAGCATCCTTTGTTCCGTTCGTAGCAAGGCCAGGAGCCCCGTTCGTAGCGTCCGATCGCTCCGTTCGTAGCCACGAACGTGGCCCCTCTCTTTTAGCTCGCAGCTGGCGGCACCGGCTGCGACGACGTCGCCTTCGCCGGGCGCCTCGGCGCCGCGACATGCCTCGGTCGCGACAGCCGAAGCAAGTGGTGAGATCTACGAAGGCGTGAAGAACCCAAGAGGAGAAACATGAAGTTATTTTTTGGTTTATCTATTTTTGTGATGGATCTGCAAGGAAGTAACTTTGTTATGTGTTGTTTGTACCACGCTTTTCTATGCGACCCTCCGGCAGACCCTGTTTGAGGCGATCCTGTCTTGGCCATTCGGCTTTGGCTCGCTCCTGAAAGCAGTATAGCTTTTGTAACATGCCGGTGCACAAGACCCTTGGCCAAATTGACCACGGTTTCCGATGTCCTCCTCAAAGCCTTGTTCCAAAGAAAATGCAGCACTCCTCTTTCTAAAGGTTTGGAGACGGCACTCCTTCTGCACCCATATTTGCGCTACTAGGGTGGAGGCCATCGCTCTTAGATTGGAGGCCATTACTAGTAACAAGGAGCGAACAAGAAGCTACGATCGGGGCTCCTGGCATCGCTACAATGCATTCTTACTACGTCGTCGGGCCGGAGGCCGCCCGTTGGCGCGAACGCACCAGGCAGGATGCGTGCACGGCACCCGGGAACCGGAACCGTGCACGACTTCTAGCTACTAGTAAGGCACCTCGCTACTAGTGACAAGTGCATCACTAGTAGTACTGCCCTCGTGGCTAGTAGCGATGCCCTTCTTCCTAATAGTTTCTAGCTACTAGGAAAGATGGGAGTTTCGTCTAAACGGCGACCACCAGGCCGCCGGTTCCAAGCCTGGTTTCCCGGGTTCCACCGCAGAACTCCGCTGGACGTTTGTGCCGAACTCGTTGCATAGGCTATGCCTGGCACCTGACAACAAAGATGCACCTGGCGAGACGCCGAACTCGTCTCAAGTATAGACTAGTAGCGTCCGATCGCTCCGTTCATAGTAAGGCCAGGAGCCCCGATCGTAGCGTCCTTGTCAAGTAGATCAGAGTGATCACTAGAATTTCACTCAGCCAATTCAGCATAAAGAGATGATGGGAGATAGACCTGTAGAACTGGACTCAAAAAAGATTCAAGCCATCAACTTGGATGGAACAGACCTTCTTTTGGGACATCAAGGGCATTTCAACTGAGACTGTCGTCCAAAATGCCGCAGCTACTCGTAGGTGTTGAATCGTTTGTTTTCTGCAGTGCGTGCTTTTGCGCCCTCCCGGAGGTGCGCCGCGTCGGCCGGAGGCGGAAGGGCTCACTCCGGAGGCGATGGACACAGGCGATGGAAGGTCCGAGAAGAGCGAAATCCGAAGAATCAATTCTAATTAAAGAACTAAACAAAACGAAATGAAAGAACAAACCAATATAAATCTGTGTGTTTTTGCTATTGATTTTTCTAATTACTTAGTAGTAAGGCCAGGAGCCCCTTACTCGTAGCGTCGGATTGCTCCTAGTAGTTTGGATCCGATCCTTTTCGCAAGCCAAGATGTTTAGCCTCGCAAGGTACAACCTGAGAGGGTCTGCAGGGCCTTGCCAAGATTGGCCTCTGATCAATAACCTGGGTGTTTGGGATTGGGTGGAGCCATTTGGTTCAGAGGCAACTCCAGGGCTGATCATGGACAAAGATCAAGATCGCGGAAGCTAGCAGCTAGCATCGCCAAGATGGTCAAAGATTCATTCTGATGTCGAAAACCATTTAGACATACATATAGTGGTGTGACTTGGTTGTTTTGATTCAGGTTAAATGCAGAGCACGTCTCTCTTCGGCGAGTTGCACCAACACACCCCCTGCGATTGGATTCCAACCTAGGATTCCAACACCCATTCTTTTAATGGCCTTTACCAGACAACCATTGTTTTACTAAGGATCTTAACCAAATTTAATGATGGTTTTGGCAGGGTAGGGTATAAAACATAATCAAACGTATATATATTCTTGGGCCCCAGCCTTCATGGTTGGCTGAGCGTCCGTTTTTTGAAGTGGGTCAACTAGCGGCTGGGGCTGGGAAGCCGACATACCGGAAAGAATTCAGTTTTCGGCGATAGCAATGGCCTCCAACCTGCTAGCAGTGGCCTCCACCCTAGTAGCGATGGCCCTCCAACCTGCTAGCGATGTCAAAGCCGTCGATGCTTTGACTTTGGCCGTCGTACTTTGTTGACTGATCAGTTTTCGTTTGTTTCAGAGGAACCTCGATTTGTTTCCGTTTGTCCGGCTCCTCGATTTGAACTTAGAACTTTTTAAGGAGACGGGAAAGAACCTACGTAGAGCAGGGAGCCACGGTCAAGAACCATCACAAAACTTGCTGCCGTTTCGGTTTCCTCAGCTGAAAAACAAGAGTTCGAGAGTCGTTCGGAAGTTTCAAAAGAAACGACTGACTGATGACGGTTGGATGACTGATGCAACCACTGTGAGTCGTTACCTCGAGTTACGCTTTGATCAGTGATGGAAGGATGGCATTGTGTCAACCTCATCTGTTTATTTTCTTGTTTCCCTTGAGGTCAACAATTGAGATTCTTGACAGATCTCTTGACAGATAAACCCACTCATCAAAATCCACTAGGATATAGGATATGTGGCTCTCCAACCCTTCAAACCCTTCAAATCTACTTGGTCCAAACAAAGATCGAAACCCAAACCCTGACCCGTCCTGACCAGCATCCTTTTGGGCCTTTGCCGTCGCTCCGCGCGGCGATGTGGGCTCCCTTCCAACGCGCGTGAAGCGCGGTCGTTGAAGGGCTGATGGTGCCTTGATGGCCAGTTCGGTGAGGAGGAGGAACTGGCGTGATGGCCTCCACCTTCGGTCGTAGCTTCGAGCGAAAAACCGCCCTCATAGCTCGTACGTAGCTTCTTGTTACTAGCGATGGCCTCCAACCTAATGGCATCTGGTGACTGGGGAGGAACTGAAAGATGTTCATGCTTTCTGGGGTTTAGGGTCACATTGTGGATTGAAGCGCAGTGATTTGCGTGGACAGGCATGACACGTTGTTGGTTCGTTTCTGTGTTCATGTCAGCTCTTTGGAAGCTTGCAAGTCGTGTTCAAGCTTCATAGCAGCAAAAGCAAGACCCCGAACGACAAAGCGCTGCTGTCCTTTGCAGGCAGGGCTGGATTGCCAGAGGGGTAACAAGCATCAGTCCCAAGCCGGCCGGAGACCAAAGCCGCGAGCCACCAGCCTAGGATGTCTTCCTTCTGATCTTCATTCTAGCCATCCTGGGCCTTTCCATTGCTGCTGGGCTCATGTTGAGCTCCTTTGACTTCGCAGGAACCATCATCTTTTAAAAATGGCAATGAGTCCCATCAAACGAAGAGGACGCTCGACAGTCAGGTGTGCTCTCCATGCCCAGATTGGTTCTTGGGAGCGTAGCATCACGCTGGGCCATCTTGTTGCCCCATGTTGCCCCCACGTGATCTTCATCACAGGCACACAGACGACTTCAAGTCGTGCGCTGGAAAACGGCAGATCTTTTGCCTCGTGTCCAATGGCGATTGATGCCGCACCAGGAAATCCAAACAACCAGAAACAAAGAAATGGTTGCTCCATCGTATATGACATTGAGATACATTGAGATCCTTTACATAGGAAGTGGCTGGGTCTGGGGAAACATCCAGAACGGTTTCTGGTTGAGACTGGGCAAAACCAACCCCTGAGGTCACCAATACACGACTGCTGATTTACTACCAGCAGCCAGAGGACCTGCATGTGGGGCCACCGCGGGCTCTTTAGTGAAGCCGGAGGTCCTTGTGACTGGTGAAGCCCGGGTCCACCTTTTTTGTTTTTCCGGTGGACACCAAGGGGTTGTTTGACACCAGCATCCATTTCGCGGGAAATTCTGCCGATTCCCAGTGTGTTTTGATGTTCTCCAAGAACATCCTTCTCCAGTGGGAAGAAGCAGACAGGCGACACCACACCGACACCTTTGAGGCCCGAGTCACTGGGCCTCAAAGAGACGAAGACAGAGAAATGAAAGCCCGGGACTGAAATGGTCCTCTCTCAAAAGCTCCCGCAAAAAAGACCTGCGATGACCCCCTGCGACGACCCCCTTTTTTTTCATGTTGCTAATAGCAATGGCCTCCGACCTAATAGCAAACAACATGTGCCGTTTTGGTGCAGAGACAGAGACCCGATCCGCGTCGCCTTCGGTTTCCCAACGCGAGGATGCGGGGCTGAACAGCATCCTTTGCAAGGCACCAACCTTGTGAGCCAAGAAAGATGTGTCGAGCAGCGACGCAGCAACGCGTTGTGTGTGTTTTTGCTGAGAGGTGTGTCCGGTGTGTCCAAAGAATTGGCAGACAAACCAACGTTGCTTTTGGATGAGTCGCGCTGTGGCAAACAGTTCAATCCGATTCCGCCCGGAATCATTCGTTGTTTGAAGCTCTTTTGAAGTCTCCCTTGCCCACTGCGCCACTTCCAGAGGTGATCATCGTGAGTAGTCTCACCTTGGCCTGGATGCTGAACTTGCTCCTTCCCATCGACGTCCGCAACTCCAGGTCGAGCTGCGCCGCGTCGCGCCGCGAGCGCCGCGAGCTGTCCCGGTGAACCAACCGGGGGGATCCGGTCACCCGGTCGCCTTTTTCGCTTTGGTGCATTCCTTTTTCGTGCCATTCACCCGCCTGGCATCGTTCAGGGTGCGTCTTTCGTATGCCCATCCCATGTTGTGCTCCGCTTATTGAGAGCTCCTGCACCACCACCGCCACAAAAAAACACATGGACCATGCATGTTGGACGAATGGTGTACTCTTAGGTCCCAAGGTCCAAACTACTAGTAGCTTTTTGTTACTAGTAAGAATGCTAGTAGCGATGCCAGGAGCCCCTAGTAGCGTCCTTGCTCCCAGTAGTAAGGCCAGGAGCCCCGATCGTAGCTTCTTGTTCCTGATAGCGTCTTGTTAATATAGTAGTAATGGCCTCCAACCTGATAGCGATGGCCTCCACCTAAGAGCTTCTTGCTTCTTTGCATATCGCCTTCAAAGGATGTCCCGGGCCTTTACGCGTTTCGCACCGATGCATTGAGACACCAGGGGTGTCGACTGGCGATGACTGGCGTCTAGATCGTAGTGGCGAACGCCACGGCAGAAATGGATCGAAACGGATCGAAATGGACGTCATCGCACCAGAAGAACACCCTTTGCAAGCACACCGCGTTGGCCTCGCGGATTGGAATCGCCCCAAAACGCTCGTCTCAGTGGCCCCGGACGGACGAGTCCTTGGGTCCGCCCGCTTGGTGGAAGACAAGCGGACGGGAGGGGCCTCTGTGGAAGCTGGAGGAATACCCAGTCTCCCCAAGCACAGCATTGGACTGACAGTACAGAAAAAATCCACGAAGCTGATTTATTCAACGATGGAAAACGATGTTCCTCCAAAGTACCCTCATGGTTTTTCCACGATGTTCCTCTACAAAGCCCACGTACACCAACGGTTGAAAACCACCGGTTCCTGCGGACTGAGAGACCTCCACAGGTCGAGAAGGGTTTTTGGGAGCCGAGCCGAGCTCGAGAGGTTGAGCGACCTGATAGGACCCTGTAGTGAGTCCTGTATGGGATGGACGACCTTAGGGCTGTTCAACCTCTCTTGGAAGCACCAAAATCGATTGGTTCGATGGCCATTCAAAGCTCTTTATGCCGACAGTCAAGACTGTCTTTGAGGGACTGTCTCATGATTTCTTCTGGCATCCGCTCAGGCATGCTCCTAGAGTTAGAGTTGCCTTTGCCAGGCCGACGACTGGCTTCCTAGACATGCAAGCTTTGTGGCCAGCAGCCCAGCCGACCTACACCAGTCGGTACACTCACCATAGCACGAAAAGATTCTCTTTTGCAGCTCGCTTTGGTGTGTGTGTGTGTGTGTGTCAAACCGCACCACCTAGAGCCTAGACATGACCCCTCTTTTGATAGGAAGTTGGACCATATGTCGGCGTCACCTGTGTTTGTTTGCATCTTCATGCTCTGTCTCCGAGGTCCGCAGCCTTCATCACCTTGGCGGTGTTCATTGCCCCCCGGCCGATGGCATCGGAGAATCCCGGGCATCGCTGGGCGGACGAGGGCGGACAAGGCCTGGAACGAGGACGGTTTCGGGAGATCCTGCTTCGGCCTTTTGGATGAGAAGTAAAGGCCGAAACCCCTGAAAGGTCAGGATTTGAGGATATCTTTCCAGTGTAGAGATGGAAACAGGTGACATGTTTTTCAACCCAAACTGTGACGGCAACCAACAGGATTTCATGCTTGCCTGCTCAAATAGGCCTTTTGCTGCAAGCACAACGATTTGCAGCGGCCGTACGAAGAGCGCGGAGTAGGCGTGACAGTCATCTTGAGCAGTCCGTGCTGGCCACACAAACTGAAGCGGGCTCAGTATCCGGAAGATCATTTGTAGATCCAAACTAGAAGTGACCCGCTCTTCGAGATTCGAACTTGATTCATTTGCCCCATCACACCTTTCAAACTCTGACCTTAGATGTCCAGAGTCAGGACTTGTGACTCGATCAACTCTGACTCTGAGCCAACTCTGAACTCAATCTTGTCAGTCTCCCCTCAGAATGCATTGCAGTCGCCGAGACGGCGAACTCGGCGAAGCTCGCTGCTCGCTGATTTGAAGACTCTTTGTATCAACGAGCACCCGAACTGCAACTGACCACGCACCACGTGGCCCCCGAAGTGCACCACCACCATGTGGCAGTTACGGAGCCTAGCAACGTAACTGCTGCATTTGGTAAGAAACAGAAGCTGCCAGAAGCCCTACCTAGTAGGATTATGTAGGATATGTTTTGAATGGGTTTTGGTGGCGGAGGTGAAAACCTCATGCTCCGTTTCGGGCAGCGTGACACCTCTTCTCCGTCTTCGGTTTCAGCTCTTTCGTACGGCCCAGGTTCTGGTGGTGCCCACGGCGATGTTCTACTACGAGGCCGAAGATGGTCTTTCGCCTGGGTCGCTACCAAACATGCTCATCAAACATGCTCTTCGGACACTACGAGTAAGGGGCTCCTGGCATCGCTTCACCGAGTCCGGCGAGTTCGAACGCCTTAGGGAACGGTGCGCGAAACCGGTCGGACCGCGAAGCGAAGCGGGTCTTTCCATGTTCCGCGAAACCGAAGTGTGAATCGCTTCCCAGGTGGAGGGCGATGAGTTTGTGAAGAGGCCGGTGCGCAAAGCTGGGAGGTTGAGTCTCACGGCACAAGACCATCTTCCTTCAACTAGGGTCTTTTCTGTCCAAAACAGGTTCTTTCCGCAAGGGTGGGCTGTGGAGAAGTCATTTCAGATAGAAAGGTTGGAATCGTTTTGTTCCAGGATGCAAGCTAGATTGCCGTTGCAGCCAGGCTGCCATTGTACTGTCTTCTTTTTCAACACATGTATTCACTGTTCATTGACCCAGGGGCTCCCCAGGAACTGTAAGGAACGACAGCTTCTACACCCAGGGCTTGAGGCCCTCATTCTTCTGAAGCATGAAGAGCGATGTTGCCGAGATAGCGGCGGCTACCGCAGCGAGGTGTGTCCAATAGAGACGCCAAATTGATTGCTTCTCCAAACATGTTTGTTGGCCTTTGTTGCCCCCCACCTCTCAGCAGTGTGCAGAGGGCAGGCCGCCTAGCGACGACATGGATTGGAGCAGAAAACAGAAAGAAGATCACTACTAGTAACAAGAAGCTACTAGTAGCAAGGTGCCTTACTGATACTAATAGCTTCTTGTTACTAGTAGCAAGGAACCTTGCTACTATAGTAGCTTTAAGCATCATGAACATGTGCCACACGCCTGTTGCTTTTGTGGGCCCCTTTTGATACGCTTTGGGTGATTCATAGCTGCCAATAGCTGCTGAGACCCCCCGTCGCGAGCAATTCCAATTCCTCCCCTTCACTTCAGAGATGGGACCAGCTTGTGGTGAGCGCGTAATCCTTCCAGATCCATCATGCCATCCGGTGGTTTCAGCAGCGCAGAAAGCGACGCTATGTGATGTGCTCCCTCCTGATGACCCTGATTTTCTCGGTGTGGCGGCCCGGTTCTGCGGTGACGTAGCCCAACCTGCTGCCGCTGCCGCGGGCGCAAGTGGAGAAAGGAAGTGCTGAGCCGCTTGGATGCTCTTGCACGTGTCCAGCTGAGGCTGCAATCCTGGCAATCAGTTTCCCCTTCCTCTCACAGGCGGGCAGGGCTGTCCACCCCAGACGCCCCCATCGCGGGTTACCCCCTTGATGAATCCAGTCGTTTACTCGAGAGGCTGTGATGTGATTCGATCATCAGTTTTTCAGGTGGGTCAGTCGTTAATTTTCTGTGGGACGGTGTGTGTGTCCTCAACGTTTGTGTGTGTGTGCACAATATGCGCAAATAGATCATTGGAGTACTCCTTAAATGACAATTATGTTATTTCGTTTGGACATTCCTTTGCTATCCTTTACTCTTCAGAGACGAAACCTGTGTCTCTTTTGCATGATGGGTAGTTGTCCTTGCTCCTAGTAGTACGGCCAGGAGCCCCTAGTAGCGTCCTTGCTCCAGTGATTTGTAGGGCGGTTCTCGATGTTTGTTAGAGTTTGGGTGCATCATCCTACTAACGATGGCCTCCACCCTAATAGCGATGGCCTCCATTCCATTTGTTGTGGTTATGTGGTGGGATAAGATGCCTTTGCCTTTCCTATGAATCAACGACTTCTATATTTGGCTATCGACCACACCGTCAGTGGCCATTCATCAGTACTTGCTACACTTGACGTGCTCAAATCACAGATCCCAACAATATGCGCAAGGATGGCCCTGCAAAAGCTCCTCCATCTGGTGAACGCAGCGTTCTGCCGGCCGAACGTCCCCTGCTTCGCAAAGTCACCAACCCGTGGTGCAGGCTGCCATCCCAGTGGTGTCTTACGTTTGCGAGGACCGAAGCGTGGCCGTAGAACACGTACCGGACCGATACGTAGGGCCAGCGAACGAGCCATCTCCACAGCGTCCCAGCGTCCGATTCGCAACGGAGACAACAGGTCCAACGGCTCGGTGTTTCGACTCGCTGCGGGTCGGGTCCAAACCGGCGAGCCGGGGCTGGTTCAAAACGCGTGGTTTTTCGCGTGTTGTTCGCTACACGTAGTTCTTTCCCCCAGCGCGGAGCCGGGTCACTTAAAGCAGGAAGTTCTCCAACTCCTTCCTTTAGTCAAGAGTCTGATTTCGGGTGACTCTGAAAAGAATTTCAAGACTTCTCCTTTCCACCCGTCCTGCAAGGAAAAGACGCTTGCGGGGGAAGATGGTTTTCCTCGTCCAGCGAATCGTCTTCCAGGGTGAATCTGTTCATGTTGGATCCAAAAGGGGTTGCGATGCCATACCCAGAGGGAGATGTGCCAAACCCCGACAGGAGTGGCAGACCGGAGAAGAGACGGGCCGCGCGAACGTGTGTGGAGATGGCAAGGCAGGTTGGATGGCTTTGGGTGGTGGAACAGGGGTCAAAGGAATCTCAAATCGCTTCGGAGTGGCGCTCCAGCTCGACCCATGGCAGACCCTGCTCCACCGAAACTCGGCTCTCTTCGCCGTAAGTTCAGTGTTCTTTCCACGTGAAATTGATCTGAAAAGCTGAAGTTGAGGCATGCTGAGGCAGGACAATCCAGTATAACCGTTCTTTTGAGCACCTGCAATCCGCAGCCATGGCTGCCTTCGGAGCACAAGTAGTGAAACTCGCTCAATTTGTTGGAAGGAGAACTGTTTGACTTGCTCCTGACCAAGGTTCACACCTTGCGTTTCACGGGTTCACGTTTAGGAGGATCGATGAAACATCGTCGATTCCGTAGTTCTTATGGGGTCCGCCATTTGACGGCATCAGGTCAAGCTCGGGGTTCAGTTGTCTTTTTGGGGGCACCTGTGTTTCCCTCCCGCCAACCATGAAGAAGAACCCAAGCGAGGCGACGGAGATTGAGGTGCAGGCGAACCTGAAAGCGAGGGAAGCACGTTCGGAAGGAGGGTGAACGGGTTGAAGAAAGGGATGTTGCCTTTGAGCTCGTTGTGAACAGGACGAAAAAGTAACAACTGGAGCTCTTGGTTCACTTGCCATGAGTGAACAAGTGGAGCAAACCGGATTTCATGGTGTTTTCCATCCCCAGCAGGTCAAGGACCTCATTCCACTGGATTCGCTCACTTGAAGGAAAGCACTACTCAATTTGGGTTTTTCAGTAGCTTTGACTTGGGACCAGGGATCCAACTAGTAGCGTCCCTTGTTCCTACTAGTAAGGCCAGGAGCCCCTAGTGGCGTCCCTTGTTCCTAGTAGTATGGCCAGAAGCCCCGATCGTAGCTTCTTGCGCGCGCGCGCGCGGGGCGTTCCGCGCTGCCCAGGTGGGTTTTCAGATCTACGTGGTCTCCGTGCTTTGCTTCCTTGGGTGGCCTCCAACTCGGTGGGAGAGACGGGGAGAGGTGCATTTTGAGTCATCGGGAGTTCAACGGGGGCAGTGAGTGGACGAATGATTTCTCGTTGTTCTTTTTTGCTGGGGGTGGAGGAACACCTGGGAACTTTCCACAAAGCGAGAACGGACGAGCACAATCCCAACGCTGTTCGGAGGAACACAGAGGACCACAGAGACCAAACTGGGAGGATTCGCTGCTGTTGAGACACCCGTCACGACAATTTCAGAGAGTCAAGGCTTGGGAGAAGACCAGGAAAACTGCCATGTGCTGTGAAGTGCCTGGTTTCAGAGGGCTTAGGCTTCGAGCCAGGTCTAGATGCAACCAATCAATCTGTCAAAGCTCAAGGGAGGTCAACCTGCAAGATGTTTCTGCAGATGTTACATAAGCCTTGGGGCGTCATCTCTGTGTTTGTTGGGACACTCACAGTTCAGGGATCGCTCGTCCTCACCTCAGTCCTCGTCCGTGGCACTCGTCGTCCTCGTCCTCATGGATCGGGATCGCACGAGTGGAAGCGAGCGAAGTGAGGTTCTTCCTTTCCATTTTTGGTGGAATCGGCTTGAGTGTGCTTTCCCTCAGCTGCCCCGCGAGTGAAGACGAACGGCGCAACCGGATGGAGGAAAAAAAGAATATGGATGATACTTCGGGGAAGACATCACTGCTCGGATGGTCTTTTCTGGCGGATGGACATAGGCTTGCGAACCCAGGAGGCCTTCCACTTTGGGGAGCATGAGCTCACATGATCATGCCGATCAACTGCAGAGCTACCATACGGAAGAAATGGGTCACTGCGGTTGGATCTGGAGTTTCTGAAATGGCTGGCTTTTCACCTACCTAAGGTCAATAATCACACTTTTCTTAGTACCAGGCCAATTTGCAACGAGACCTCATCAAGCCATGTAGGTACGTAGTTACCCATTGGGACCAACATATCCCGCACTCCGGAAAGCATCTCCTTTGGTGGGTTTGGGCGTGCCATGGCGTGCCATTTGTTGGAACAAAACCTTGTTCTTCAGCAAGGCAGTGGTCATGTGAAGGGGGATCATGGATTTGGGGTGATGGTCAAACTATGAGCCTCCGCTGCAATGAGGTTGCAGGTAACAACGACTTATCAGAACTTATCTTTCCCCAAGCTTGTTGATGGTCCTTTTCATACCTTTTCATAAGTCTTTTGGTCAAGTTGAACAGCGGAGTCTCCGCGCCTCAAGAGCGCCTACAGATCTCAGGGTCTTTGACATCCCTGGCTTCAGGGTAATTGGTGATCAACAACCTAATAAAGATGGCCTCCAGGACTCCAACCTAATAGCTTCTTGCTACTAGTTAGTAGTAATGGCCTCCAACCTAAGAGCGATTTCCTCCATCCTGAGCGTTGCAAACGTTGACTCCTTGTACACGTATGATATTTATTATACCGTGCACTCAGTATTGCTCTTCGACGCCCCCCGAGAGTCCCTGTTTCAACATGGCTTCTCCGTTCGAGACTGGTCGAAACCGACTGCCAAGACGAGGCCGTCGCGACGGGACGCGATGTGACGTGGCGTTCGGCGTCCAAGGCGGCACCACTGGACATGATCCTGTCCTTCGTGGATCGTCCGCGGCCCATCGCCGGGCAGCACAGCGTGGGAGCGGCGCATCGGTCGGGAGGTGGGCGGAGAGGGGAAATCCCAGGTGGCTCACGACCCTAAGACTTGGACCAACAAACATCAATGAAACTTCTGTTTACAGTTGTGTGTGTGTGGGGATCATCTATCACCGTCTCCCTACAAGTCCAGTGCGGGGCATTAAACCTGGTCTGACTGACCTCATGTTTCGACCGTACTGGTTGTTGCATGTTCCCGGACCCAGTAGACTCAGACCTTGAGGTCGACCTCTAGGACCTTTGGGTCGTCTCCGCACCGCCAGACGGAAGCCACCTACCGGCAGAGGAAGCGGATGGTCCGGACGCCCGGGCGAATTCAGCGGCCGAACGGCGCCGGATCGCCATGGTCGGGTGACTTCCTCTCGTTGATGGCAGGCGTCAACGGATTGGGTACTGGCTGAAGGCACAGAAAGACCACCAAAAAGCTCAACAAGAAAGCCCTGGGAATCCCAGAGTACTTTACTATACGTACTTTACAATGTGTTCTGGTCTTTAGGTGATCTGATTTCAAGAGGAACTTCCAGAAACTTCATGAGGCATGTATAAAAAAGTTGCCAGCGTGGATTTCTAAGGGAAAGGGAATCGCAGCTTCTAAAACTGCGGCATGCTTGCCTTGACTGCGGTACCGCGAAGCCGATTTGTGAAAACCGCCTGACACGTCTGACACGTCAGAGACGCGTCCGTCCGTCCTTTCTCCGTGTCCTTTTCATCTCTGGACGTGGACACGAATGTAAAATGTAATGTAATGTAATGTAATGTATATAAATGTAATGTAATATGTTCCAAGGACTGTCATCATTCAAACCCAGTTTGTTGATTGGATCTTTTGACGTTTAGGCGGAGTGTGACCGTTCATGTGAGCATCTTCAGCTCACTTGACCTCGGACAGCTCCGAGACTCCTGCATTCCCAGCGAAAAGCTGGGACACCAAAAGCAAACGACCCTGGGTGTCACATGGCCCGAACTCACTCAGCTCAGCTCACGCATCTGGTGTCACATGGCCCCGCCATGAGGTCGGCTTGGCCGCTGGTGTGCTGTCTGGGACTCCCAGTCGAGTTCGACCGAGGCCAAGGCGACCACTCCACCGGGCGGCGGGTTCGACTCCAGCGGCGCAGATCGGCCGAGGCTCCAACGCGCGGAGGAGCTGCAGAACCGCGACGACGCGGGGGCGGAGAACGCCAAAGGCCGAACGGCGGAGGGGGAGAGGCTGCCGCAGTGAGGGTCTGCACCCTCCGCCGTTTCGGAGGGATTTCTGGATGTCTATATGGATATCAATCTATGAATGCTTGATCCAAAGGAAGGAAGGGTCGGGGTGGGAGTTCAAATGCAGAAAAGCAAGTGGCAAAGGTATCACTGTACCGCGATGGGTCCATTCGTGGGCTTTGGAGAGGGAACAACCAAGGGATTTGTTGAGATGAGTTCATTTTCAGAAAATCTACAAGAGCCACATTGCCAGCGGTTGGAAGTTTGGAAGGCCTTGTTCCAGCATCTAGAAATCGTATGTCCTGGTAGGCAAAAGGCGCTTCAGCTGGAGCAGCTGGCAAGCTGGACGTGAGCAGCGACAGGTTCCGGGGCTCAAATCCGGAGATTCCTCTCGGGTCACCCGTGTAGAACACACGCTCGATCTGCCGCACGGGGCCCATGTGGAAGCTCGATACTACTTGTAGTAGTAATGCTAGCAGCTACTAGTAGCGTCCTTGTTCCTGAGCACGGGCGTAGGACCGTAGGAGAAGACATATGCTGTTGACAAGAAATCGTTGATCATGTCAATGGAGGCCTACACAGAATCTGCCGAGTTGATTGAAACCATAACGATGTTGTATCTACATTGTACAGAAGCAAACACCGGCATGGGCAGCAAACTCACCACTCAGCTAGCTTGCGACAGTGGTCATACATCATGCACCTCATGAATCTCGGCGTGACCATTTGGCCTGTGAAACTGGGCGTTTCCAAAGCCGGAGAGATGGCGGTTTCCACCCCTCCGACCGGTCCGGTGGGGTCGTCGAGTGGGAACCGTCCCGTTCACGAAACATCAACGATTCTTCACAAACCCCGCAGAGAGAGAGAGAGAGAGAGAATGTAGTTGTAAAGTACAGTTGTTTTGGGTGTGTTTAATCGTGTGTTTCATCGTGTTTCTTTCCAGGTAGGATGAGCAGTTACACCCCATCATGGTCATTGGACTTGGCTTTTGGCAAGAAAAAAAACGGCTTCTCCGGTGGTTCACAGTGCTTCTCCCGGTCTCCGTTCGCTTTGTGTGGAATCACCCGATCTCCTTCCCGGTCCGTTCCGGGGTGCGGAGGTCCGCACGGATTACAACCGCTTCAAGTGCGACGTCTTATTGCTGGAGGAGGACGTCCGGAGCGTTCGCTACGAATTAGGGGTTCCTGGCCTTACGAACGGAGTGTAGCAAGGACGCGACGAACGGAGCTACTAGGGCATTTCTACTATAGGAGCGTTCGGACACGTTGAGGACGCGTTGAGACAGGAGGAGGACGTGTTGAGAAAACCTCACCAAAAGCGATGACAGACACCTGTCATCCTTCAGATTGCGCCCAATGATATGCGGATTCTTGCAGCCCGGATTTCGTTCTTGTCAGTCTTGCTGAAGTCTTCCGGAATTGACTTGAGGCTGAAAAAATCCCGTACAAAGCAAGAAATCAGCAGGGTGGTCCGAGATGGTATCAGCCGAAGCCACCGAAGTGCAACGTGCCTGGTTTCCTGATCTTCACCTCGCTGTGGTCCAATGTTTGGTGCAGTAGACCAGAACCTCCTCAAAAAACAGCAAAGGGGTCAAAGGGGATATGAAAACCGAATTGGTTTGGGATTCTCTGCATATTGAACATACACATCGTTGACTTGTGAACTTGTGACCTTGTCCTGCTTGCTTGCTCGGGGGTGGTTCTTTCGTTTCGCTTTGTTGGTCAACGGTGGATTTTCGGACCCGTGCATCCGACATTTAGACGTTTCCGGACGCAGTCTCGTCTCCCTCGACTCACAGGGCGGAACGAACGCACTGAGTTCGAACAATCAGTTGCCGGGTGTTTTTCGGATTCCGTTGGTCATCGCCGATAGCACCCACCAAGCCGTTCAAGCCCAGCGATTCCTGCGGTGACCTCCGACTGATTGCGATCATCAGTCCACGGAACGTGAGGAATGATTGAACTCCACCTCGCCTCCGTTCGAACTCCACGGATGATGCGAAAACGTCACTCCGCGCGATTCCCGGCGTGCCATTTGCCCGCGGCGGGTGCACGCCCTCCCAGGAGTTCGAGAAACTGCAAGTGTCCAAGTACCAAAAGGGGGAAAGCCAGGGCCCGAGTCGGGATGGCCGAGTCGAGTTGGGCTGCAGAAAACAGAAAGAAAGAAAACAACAGGAGCTTTCCTACAAGTTGCGATGTTGTGTGTGTGTGTGTGTTTGGTTCCGGAAGCGGATGAACGCCGACAGAACATTTTTTGGAGGACTGACTAGCAGCTCGTTTGATCCAAAGTCTTCAAGAGTTGTTAGTGAGAGGAACTGGCTGAGGTTGGTGCCTGTGCTGGAGGGATGTATTTTATTGGACTCACTCTTCAAGATCTTTCCTTTAGGGGTGCAAAAAGGGTGTAGTGTGGCTTGGATGTGGTTTCCTCTTTTTGTTCCCTCAACGTGTGTTTGTTTTGTGTGTTCTTTTCAGTACCCGTTGCCGCATCCCTGTTCTTCGCGCTGGGCCCCAAATGTGTTGCCGTTGTTCCCATCAAAAACACATCGGTGGAACGCCGCGCACGGTGCCTCCCGGTGTGGGCGAAACAACGAAACGCTCCGCGCACGGTGCCCGAAAGCACGACATGGACGAACAACAACGCGATCTTCGTGGAGAAGATCGTGGCATGTCTTCTGTGTTCGGAGTGTAGCAATTGCCACTTAGCACCCAACCAGGTCGCTCAATGGCGCAGAGTACCTCCGCTGGAAAAAGGCTTGAACCGGGCTCCTTTTCAATTACCGGAGGCCGAACCGGGCTCCACATGGCTAATAGGCTCCACCGTTTTTGGAGATCGCTTTTGGTTCTATTGAAATATCGCTACTAGTAGCAAGGGCATCACTACTAGTGGCAAGAAGCTAGTAACAATAGCTCGTGTTTTCTGTTTCGTCCTTGGAAGAGATACTTTCGTCGTGTCTCCTCTCTGAATATCATGTTAAACACATGGCAAGTTTCACGGCTTGATCAGATCCGTCGTTGGCTCTGCACTTTTTTTGGCCCGAAGAGGCTCAGAGGGTTCTGGTGAACATTGCTATGAAGTGTTCTTCTCGAGCCACCGTTCCTCCATCTGCCTTTGCAAGCGTCTTTCACTTTGAGCAGCTGGGAGGAAGGCGCGGTTGGGCGTTCGGGCGCGGTGCGGCGTTAACGCGCGTTCTGTCCAGGAGCGTTCGCGCCGAAAGCACCATTGGGTGAATGCACGGTCACCATGTTTGAGGCATGTGTATTGTGGTGAATGAAATGTATGGCGTATATAGATAAGCAACACACGCAGGAAAGACCAAGAACCATCAGAAGGAGATCTGAAAGTACCAAGTACCATAAGACCAAGTACCAAGGTATCTGGTTGCTAAGGAGATCTGAGAGGCGTCATGATTTACATCGCCAAAGTGTCGCGGAACCGCCGATCTCCGTGGATGGTGGAGATCTATGGGCATCGCCCACTTAAGTCCCTGGAAGACATGAGATCATGAGGGACTCAACAGCAACTTCCCCTGCTCAGTCAGAAGAGTTCATCCACACCACATCCAAAAGATTTTCTGCGCTGGCGAGTGCACAGGCTGAAGCTGACGGGCCCCGACGAGCATCCACAGACTTGCAGCTCTGAGCAGGTGGATTCCGCTGGAAAACGTAAGCAGGACGGTCTTGAAACATACCATCCTGCGCTCTGACCAGGAATTCCTCCTCCTTCCCAGGAAAGGGCTTTGTCTTCGACGGAATTCTGACACCTGACGATACCGCAGATGGAAGTCATGTTCCTGAAGTTCTGGTTTTGAGCTATCTCACCAACGCCTTAGTTTGCTTTGAGTTGCGCGCATATGTTGTGAGGTAATGCAGGTTCTCTTCTTGCAAGAGCCAAAACATCGCTACTACGGTGGAGGCCATCCCCCTATTAGGTTGCAGGCCATCGAGCTCCTTAAAGATGCAAAAAAGTCATGGTTCTGGTGCCTCAGCTATGACGTGTGAACAACAGGGGATCGCCCATACTGCTACCATACCCCATGAGTGAAACCCCCCTTTTAACCATATGACTCCTACGATGATGCTTGAGGCTCCAGTCGTTGGATTGAATCCTGAAGGAAGAACACAACACCAAACGCCCTAAGGTGCTTTGTACACCCTTGCTGGCACAAATCTATGTGTTTGTCCTACACCTGCTGGTTTCTTCAGGCTCAAAAAAGTAGAAAAGGAAATGGTGGGCCTGTTCTTCTTTTAGGAGCAAGAACGCTTCTAGGGGCTCCTGGCCTTACTACTGGGAACAAGAAGCTACTAGTAACAAAGGCCAAAAGAGAGTCTTCAGTCGTTTTGACCGCAGAGATCTCCACATGGACCCGCCAGGTGCGCTTGGGTCATGTTTGGAGGACCATGCGGCTCAGGGAAGCTGAGCGGATGGAGCAGAGGCAGCAGAAGCGAGACCTTGCTAAAGAGGCATTTCCTTGATGTCCTCATGGTTTCCCATTGTTTTCTCATTCCATTGGTTGGATGATGTGTCTTCTTTCCATTTCCCATGTCCGATGAGATCATGTTGGCACCTGTCACAGGGCACCTGTCGTTTGGTGGCCTGACTACAAGAATACAAGAATAAGATGATGTTTTTCGCCGTGAAACGCCGAAGGTCCTTGAGATCTCTGCATGTATTGACGTTGAATATCGGTTCAACTACCAGGATGTTTGTTGTTTGCTTCGAGTTGTTTGATGTTGGGAGCCCATTGAGGGCCAACAGTATAGCAAGAAAAACCAGAAACAACTACAACACACACTCGGGATATTGCGTACGGAATGCCTCATGCCACACATCCACCTAGATAAGCTGTGTCGCTCCCGCGCTCGGAACCGTCGGAACCTCCGTCTTATCGAGTCCACGAAGTCTGAAGGCGGCGAAGCAAAGGAGTCCACTGCAGTGAAAGTCCAACCGCTGCAAGATGGCCCGATTCGAAAGACCAACGGGGGGCCCAGGAGGAAGTGAAAGTCCGATCGCCAGGAACAAAACCGAGCTGATCAGGCAGATAGCTTGAAAAGCACAAGCGGATAGCTTCGTTGGGTGCAGTCTCCACTGTGTTCTGCACCCCCCTGCAAATGGAAGAAAGAAAAACCAGAACCGAAAAGGCCCCCTTTGATTCCAAGCACTACACACACCTATAGGACCCAAGAAGTTCTTCACAACTTCGAAAGACAGCGGTGTTTTTCTTTCTCCGCGCTTCTAATGGAAATCGTTAATGTTTTTTCGACTAGAAACAATAAGCTACTAGTAACAAGTGCATCGCTTCTAGGAACAAGTGCCTTACTAGTAGTAACAAGAAGCTATTAGTTTAAAGTTATTTTAGTTTAATTCTAATAGCTTCTTGTTACTATTAGTAAGGCACTTGTTACTAATTACTCGCGTTCGACCTCAGGAGATGAGCTGGTCCGAGCGAAGGAGTGGGGAGCTCCGATCGAGGGCGCGGAGAAGGTGGAACAAACAGGGGAGTAGGGATCTTTGCGGTTTAGCTTTAGCCTTTCGTCTTGTGTCCAGTTTTGGGTTCTGTGTTTCTTGTGTTCCTTTTGGACCTTTGAGCCGTGCCAGACTCGGTCTTCGGCTCGACTCCAAATGCCTCGCCCGCTGAACAGCACCCTCTTCGTCCTGCCAGGACGTGCTGAACTTCTTGGAATGCCCCGCGGTTGTAAGGACGCGACGAACGGGGGCTCCTAGCATCGCTACGAACGGAGCGATCGGACGCTACGAACGGGGCTCCTGGCCTTACTACTAAGAACAAGAAGCTGCTAGGGGCTCCTGGCATCGCTACGAACGGAGCAAGGATGCTATTAGGGGCTCCTGGCCTTACTACTAGGAACAAGGACGCTACTAGCAGCAAGTGCATCGCTACTAGTAGCAAGGATGCTATGAATGTGTCGACCCGATTCGCCTCGGTCCGGTTCGTGTCAACAGGGACGGCCCCACCGAACCCGTCGGAGCGTGCACGCTACGCGAAGAGGTTGGGGGTTGGATGAGTTTGGTTGGTTTCTTGTTACTAGTCTTGCTCCTAGTAGCGTTCTTGCTCCTAGTAGTAAGGACAGGAGCCCCTAGTAGCTTCTTGATACTAGTCAAATGAAGAGAGATTGAGAGAAAATCAGACATGTTCTTTCATCCTTTGTTTTCATTGAAGGTACAGTCTGTCCCGCTGCTGTCTCACAAGTTTACCAGCAGATCTTACCATGTTCAATATGATGGTTCCTTTGCCAGCGGCATTTGAACTTCTGAATCCAGCGACAGAACCTGAAAGTCGACGCCGCTTCGAGTCTGAACTGCGTTGGGTATAGGTCTAAAGAATCAAACGAAAAAGGAGCAGACAAGTGGTCCTGTAAATGAGCACTTGTTACTAATAGCTTCTTGTTACTACTAGTAAGGCACCCGTTACTACTAGCGTGGCACTTGTTACTAGTGGCGATGCACTTGTTTCTGAGTAAGGATCCGTTTTCTCACGTGAGAATCATTATCGTCACAGGATGAAAAAGGGCTTCAACGAAAAAGAAGAACCTCACAGCCACAGTTCGTCGATTTCTGAACGAGTCTCCAAGCACAAGTCCTTCTCGGCGCGTCGGGTTCGTCGGGGCGATCCTGCGGATTTCTGAGGCCATGGTTTTAAAGACTTGAATGTGCCGAAGAGCTCTTTGTGTGGGTTGGTGTCATGCTTTCCCTTGCACAAGGCCGCGAAACAACAAGACTGGCATCCTGACCAAAATAAGCCTGGCGTCACTGGCGTCATTGAAAAAGCCTTTAAGGTGCTTGCAGTTGATGCATTTGGCTGGAAAGGGCACTCTTATCTTGTAGAAAGCTACTGCATGTGTATGAGATCCAATTCAGCACACCTCTCTATAGTGAAATGATAATGCCAAAAATAGACAGTCCGGCCTCCCTTTTCTTTGTGGTTGTTTTGCTTTGCCAAGGCATATGGTGGGGCTTTTGCTGGAGTTTGGTGCTGATGAGAAACAAAAGGATTGGAGAGGAAGAGACTTTGCTTGTCTCATCTTGTCTCTCTTGATTTCAACTTGATTTCGGTCTTCAACGTTGCGTAGATGTGTTTGTGTACCATATGTGTCTGTGGGTGTCCTGCATGTTTGTGGACTCCCTGACGTATTTGCAACGCATTTGCCTTAAGACCATCTCAATAATAGCCGGTTTGGGTTCGCAGCACAGAACAACCAGCATACTAGTTTCACCTGTTCCGCTGTCCAGATCGCCGTCCTGCGAACGCATGCAATGGCTGTTTTGGAACTGACTTTCCGCCAAGGAGATCTCTGGAGCTATCTGCAGAAGGAACCCAAGGAGGTGGTGGAAAAGCTGCAGTTCGTGACTCGGTAGATTGTTCAAAAGGCTGGTTCTTTTGGCAGGTGAATGAGGCATATGGAGGAAAGAACTGGAAAGACATGAAGTTCTCCCGCAAGACTGTGATGTCTTCTTGCTGCTTTCTCCATCCTTTTCATTCTCTCCGTCTCGTCTGCTTCAATTCTCCAGCTGACCCAATCGTCACTCCCGTGAACCAGAGGTCTTCCTCACCCCACTCATACCCAAAACGACCCAACCAACACGAACGTCAGACCACATGGTTGGTCAGTTTGGTCTGGGTTCAAACATCAACAAAACGAGCTATGATACAGAACGTCATGTCATACTACACACCTAATAAATACAAAGCATCAAAACACCCATACGAAAGATCATACTACACACTCACATGACTACAGGGTTTACAAAAAGTCCTACTTCCAAAGCAAGAGAACCACGAGAACTCCGGTTTCTGCCTTTAAATGTTGGGCGGAGTCTTCTGCCGCCATCCTGCTCAGGTTTCTGTTCGATCGAGCCAGCAACCGTGACTGTGCTTTTGGGGCCACGGATGGCGATCAGTGATCAGAGTCACCACATCTTGAGTCACAAGGACGCTACTAGGGGCTCCTGGCATCGCTACTAGTAACAAGTGCCTCACTACTAGTAACAAGAAGCTACTAGGGGCTCCTGGCCTTACTACTAGGAACAAGAAGCTAGTAGAAACAATATATAAATTAGACTTTAATTAGAATTAAACTAAAATTAGTAGTAAAGGAGGCTACTAGGAGTCACCACATCTTGAGTCGTGAAACGAATCCAAAGGGGTGAGACCAGCCGGTGGTGAAAATCCGGCGAAGCTTTCGATGCGAAAGCTATAAAGTCAGAGAGCAACTCCGAATCCGCTGAGAGGTGTTTTTGGCTCTGCCCCGGGAGAAAAAGAAACAAGCCAAGCAAAGCAACCCAACACCACATTTTGCAATGTCAGGCAATGGTTCAGCTGAATCGCATCAGGGATGGGATTCTAGTATGTTGGAGGCCATCACTACAAAGATGTCCGTAAAATCTAGGCCTACCCCCCTTTCAAAAGTACAAAAGAAAGAAGTATCAAATAGATATAGAAACAAAAAATACATTTCAAATCTTATCTCATTCCCTTTTCTCCTAATTCCCCAAACAGTTTACTGTTGGGGTTCTATCTTAGAAAAATAAGAGCTGGCCACACTGACTGGCCACGCCCCTGGACAGTCTTGTCCTCCTGTTCTCCTTCTCTTGTCCTGCTGTTGTCCTCCTCTTGTCCTCACTGACCAGCCCTGGACACACTGACTGGCCTGAACTCTGTGGCCGGGCTCTGTGACCGGGTCTTGTCCTACTCTTGTCTTCTCTTGTCCTGCTCTTCTCTTGTCTTCTCTTGTGGCCGAACAGTGAACCATGTCGATGCCGACAAAAATCTTTGATTAAGCAATTTGCTCTTGGGGGAGGGTAGGGCGTACCAAGAAATCATGTTTGACTAATTTATATTGGCCCCAACTTTGGGGTCTATGCTGGTATAATCTTCGACAGAAACTGGGCGTCCAGAAACTTCAACACGATCCATGTGTTGATGTTTTGAACCACACGCTCTCGGAAAAAAGAAAAAGCGCCGTTGTCCGATCGCAATACAGAGCATTTCTTCGCAGTTGCTGGTGTTGTCAACAATTTGGAAAGGACATTCAGGAGTTGCTCTTCTGAATTTCTGAATAACCATGAATTTAGCCAGGGGATCAGTAGCTGATCGTTCGACTCATTGTCTTCCGACATCCCAAGACCTTCCTACGATCGGTCTGGGTCTGAATTCGAATCTCGGTCTTCGCGCTCCATCTGCTCGGTGTGGCTGTTAGCCCGAGCGAGCGTGAGATCGGTGTTCCAGCTTCTGTAGGACCTTTCGCTTGCTCCGAATGTTGTCTTTCCTGCGCAACCGCTGCATGTTAGCATAGTTTCAAACTCTCCGGATTTGCCAAGCGGTGGCGTCACCGAATCAGGGCCATTGGAACACAGGACGAGATTTCGTGTTCACACTGCACCGTATGTGACATAGACATATGTGTATGTGTTTTGTCCAAGCAACTAGCCTGAAACCACCACATACTTTGGCGCATACTTGCTGAGACCAGATCGCGGCATATCCGAGCTACACGCTTTGCACAAGCATCAAGGTCCTGTTGTGAGATATGGACTGGATGTGCTGATGGCGCAAAGTTTTGAATACGGTGATGTTTTAATCCACTTTGCCAAAGCTGGTGAAGAGGGGCGGCACCCAGATGAATGATCACAAGCGCAGCCGCGGCTTTCACCGCTGCTAAGCCACTCTTTGCAGATATGGAGTTGATCAAAAGAGAACAGAACCATGATAAAAGTTTTTTGCATGAGGATCTCCAAGGGTTAAGTGACCAAACTGACCGACCATCAAGAATGCCCTAGGCTTGGTGATGTTGCATCGTTGCATTGACATACAGCAGAGAAGAAGCGACTTGGTGTGCCAGCTTTAGGAGTTAGCATGAATGGCCTGAACAAGGCGCTTGACCAGACAATCAGTGCAGGTGGTAGTGCATGACCGGCAAACGGAGTACCCGCAGAGGTGTTGGTGTATGAGACCACTGATCTAGACTCTGGCAAGCGCTCATGACTCATTCTTTGTCTCCTGGAGGCCGTTCTTTGAGGATCCGGCTGGATGGAGAACGAATCTCCAATGCTCGAGGCTCTCTTTTAGGAAATCTGAGCACGAGATTGAGGCAAACTTGTGTTGTTCGATGTTTGGTTCGTTTCGAGCTGAGATGAAGGCTGAAAAGAAGCTCGCTGATGGTAAGGCATTCCGAATGTTTTCAGGGAAGAAGTCCGGGTGAATGATCTTCGTATATCTGCTGGTTGTGTGGCCGGAAATGGGCCTCCGCAGCTTGATTCCAACCTCCCAAGCGTTTCAAGTGTTTGTTGGTCTATGTTCTCCTGGGATATGCAGGAAATTCTCGCAGAACGGGTGTTTTTCTGATTCTTTAAAGGTCCTTTGTCGTCTTGCGGTAAACCCCAGGTCTTCGCTCGCATCTCGATCCAGTTCCCTTCCGGAGGGTCTCCGCACGGTTTCACAGCACTCAGCCGGTGGGTTGACAGGTCAAAAGGCCAAACCTCTCAGTTCGGGTCTTCACCTTCCAAGAACTGGGAGCTTCACGAGCTGGTGGGAGGCCGCTCTTAGGTTGGCCAAACCTCTCGGTTCTCTCTAAAGAAGCAAATCCTTCAAGGAAAACACGTTGCTTTTGGGCACGTTGTTCCAAGGCCTCTTGGTGGCGGTGCTCAAGCTTTGCTGTGGCATCATCTTTGCGCTTCTCTCACTGGCCTGGAGCTCAAGGTGATACAAGCGGAGCTAATGCAGCTTCGGCACACCGAAATTGGCAGCAAAAAGTAGCTGAACCTGTTAATGAGGAACACCATCAGTGGAATCTCTCTGACATGGTCCAATGAGTGGTTTATTTAGTTTTTGAATGTATACGGTTTACTTGTGTAAAAACTCTTGTCCTAGTTCTTTTCCTGCCGACCACACAAAAAGCGCTTACTTTTCAATCATGTGTTCATGTAGACTAAGTGCTGTGCTGGGGAATAACCGCCGCGATGGTACGGTGCCTTCTCAAGCCAAAATCACGCAGGGATGTTGGTGCTGTTTGCGTGTTGCGGAAAAGCTACTACTGTGTGGGATTCGATTGGGTCTTTCCGAAGCACTCATCGTCGAAGCGATGAGTCGAAGACTCAGAGCGGCTTGGGCTTTTCCGGATGTGTTGGACACGTGCACAGACGAAGTCGCCCCGTGCCACTGTTGCCACATGGTAGACAGGAGGATGTTCACCTACCGGGTTTGCCTCCATACAGACCTTGGTTTAGGCCATCGAAGATCCGCCATGTCATCTCTGGGACCCCCCAACACCCTGGTCTCACCCTCGCAACGAAAAAGACATGGCGAGTGTGGAAAGCACATGTTCAAAAGACCGGTTGGGAAGCTGTGCGGCCCGTCTCTCGTTCCACTCCGTCTTCGTCACGGTGTTGCGTCGATTCGGTCAGTTGGGTGCGAGGGGGAGTTGGTACGGAGTAGGGAAAGAATCTGACCTGTTCACATGGATTCATCCTCAGCATCCTTGAGGGATGCTGAAACCAACCAAAACGCACCTGCAACCGGTTTTGGGAAAAAACGGGCAAGCGAAAACGAGACAGAATTCCGGAGCGAGGCTTGGATCCTGCAGATCATCATTTGTGCCAGGCACCCAGTGTTTCACTCCACGCGATGGAGTGGCACATCGGTTTGCACTCGGACATGCAGGCGGATGTGAGCCGTTCGTGGCCTCTTTGGAAGTCTCTGAGAGACTGCCTCTTGATGGACTCCTCGTGACCTCCTTCTGGGATCTCAAAAAGTCGAAGGTCCTGGGTGTTGGGGCTTCCTTGCTGTCAGTTTTGAAGACCTGACCCGGGACAGCCGGACAGCCGCAGACCGCACGTCCTGAGGTGCTCGTGCCGCAGATCACGGGTGAGGCAGGCTGCGCTCCGACACACCTCGTTGCGGTGAAGCAGTGTGAAAAGGGGGAGCAGAAAAGAGATGGCCTCCAACCGCCCCTAGCGTCCGAACGCTCCGTTCGAGTTGCGATGCCCTTTGTTCCGTTCGTAGCTTCTTGTTACTAGTAGTGATGCCAGGAGCTCCGTTCGTAGCGATGCCCTTGCTCCTACAGAAAGGAATTCACCGGGAGAAGAAAAGACGAAAGCATGATTGACAGGGACCAACCTGGGACTGCAGCTTCTTGGAAAAACATACACTAGAGTCACTAGAGGCATTCTGGTTTCTTTCAAAAGGGAAGACTGCACGGCAAAACAACTGGAAATCCCCACGTTGGTTTTCCGCAGTGTGTCATACAAGCAGCGGTTGTTTCTTCCCGCAATTCATTGGTGTTCCATCAGGCTCCTGGCCATCATTTCATCCACGAACCCACCATAACAGGTGATTTGTTCCTTCTCTGGGATGAGAAGCTGATGTTTGCCGCAACTGCCGCGCCCATCATGGCGGTTTCTCAGCCCATCACTTCTGGGTGCCCTATTCGGCACCTTTCTCGGCACCCAGACAGGTCCCCCCCATTCGGAGGCACCTCGCGTCCCGCTCCACATCGGTCGACCGCAGAAGGAAAGACGCCAAGTACCGCGGTGTGGCGTGGCAACTCCTTTTTGGGGGGGAGCATCCGGGCAAACAAATACACCTAAGAATCCTAAGAGCGATGGCCTGCCAACCTAGCTTCTTACTACTAGTAGCAATGGCCTCCAACCTAAGATCGTTCGGTCTCAGTCTCTCACAGGCTGGGCCGCCTTTCTTGAACAGCCTCTTCACCGCCTTCGAGCAGTCCGGGCGCGGAGCTCGTCCAGAGCATACCGGCGATCTGGAAGATATGTGTGTACCAATTGGGTGTGTTGAGGGAAAGGATGGAAGGTGAACGATCCTTTTCGTTTTGAATGCGGAGAATGAGTTGAAGTTTGGGAACGACCAGTCACGGTTTTCGGATTCCAAGACTCTTCACAGTCCAGTCTCAGTCCAGACTTGGGAAACCCGAGTTCTTGTTGGGGGGAAGGCTCTCTTGAGACAGATGGATCTCCCCTCACTCACTTCGGTCCGTTCTTCACACCGATGAGTCAGATCCGGCAGTGAGGGCGGGATCTGGCGGGTGCGAAGCCAATGGAGTTCTTTTGGATTTGGTTAAAATGATGCCTGAGCTAAGGGGTGGAGAAGAGAGACCTGCAGTTCAAGGTGTTTTCGATTGACACCAGGATCCACGGAGATAGGAGCGCTCCTAGTAGCGATGCCCTTTGTCTCAAGTAGCGTCCTTGATACCAGTAGTAATGCTAGGCGCTACGTTCGTAGCATCCTTGTTCCTTGTTCCTCCCAAAGCCGCCAACGCTTTGATCGATTTCACACGCCGTTTTTCGCACCGTGCGCCGAGCACCGTGTGCGGGATAGGCTCTACCCGTTGGGTGTGGCGCTGTATGTCGCTTGGAAAAAAGGGGCACAGCCAAACAGTCGGCCTTTGGTAGTCCTTGAGCAACAAACCGCTTGGGTGAACAGTGAGACCGGTAGTAGTGGTAGCGATGGAGCGATTGAAAGCACAATGAAAGCGGTTGGGTCTGGTCAGCAAAGTACGGGCGAGGAGTTTGTGATGTTGTTTGGTTTGGGTCTGTGAAAGTGAAAAGCGATGAAGAGTGAGAAACCTGGACAGTAGCAAGGACGCTATTAGGTTGGAGGCCATCGCTACTAGCAAGGACGCTAGTAGCTTGTTGTTACGTTCGTAGTGATGGCCTCCAACCTACTTGCGGCCTCCACCGAACATAGCGTCCTCCACCAGAATGTCCACCTCACATCAAAAAGGAAGCGATGCTTTTGGGAGGCCACTCCAACTAGACAAGTGAGTCGGTTTGCCAGTGGCAATTTTAATAGTCCTACAGTCCACCAACCATACAAAGCTGGCACTGAACTCCATGGCCAAAATCCAAACGTGGTTTTTGAGAGAAAGTGGGAAGTGAGCACGTGCGTCTGAGCAGGACCCTTGAACAGTGGTGCGCAAGGTGTTTCTTTGTCATTCGAGATACGCAGGGTGGTGGAGACATGTGACAACCATTTGGTTCTTTGGTCGAGTATTGCCAATAGACAAGGAAGATGTCCCCAAGCAGGGAAGAGCGAATAAAATAGGGAGGAGTTTTTTCATTAGACCGCATTCGAACAAGTCTCGATGTTAATTGACCTGTTGAGATTGGCGAAACGTACCTCACGAGTTCTTCGATTCAGTGCTCCCAACTGGGTCCCAACTCCTCTTCGGAATGGTCCATTGGCTAGTTTTCATTCTGTTGCGCCGAGGCCTGCTTCAACTTCTACATGCTGATTTGTGTGGTTGGCATCCTACTCACGCAGAGCAGTTTCAATCTTGCAGCTCTGAAAACTGCGATGAACGACTGCGATGATCGCGACAGGTGTTTGTTCCAAGAAGCGTCTCTTTGCGTTCACCGGTCGTCGAATCATGAACTGGGCTCGGGTCGTCTGACGTGTCTGACTCGCACCGCGACGACCAACCCGGCTCGCGGTGCGAACACGGCACTCAGGTCAAAGGGTGCACGAAGTTCGGCATGCGAGCCACCGGACTCAGACTGAGTTGGGCGATGCGGGACGGATGAGTATCGGCATCGCGTGCTTCGCTTTCGGCTTGGAAAGACGGGGAGCTGAACACCAAAATAGGTCATCCCGCCAACTCTGCAAACCCAACACGTCGGGAGACGTACGGCTTGATCCGGGTCGATCTCGAAAGGTGGTACGGAGGCCTCCATTGGTGGCGTGACCCCTCTCCGTTCCGTTGAGCCGAGCCAATGGAGAACCAGGTTTGGGACACCAGTCAAGACGATGGTCAAACAGGTCAAGTGTGCATTTCGCCGGCTTCCTGGGTCAATCAGTTGGCACAAGGAAGATGTGTTTGCTTTTGATTTGCTTCGACAAATCCAAGTGATGCGAGTGGGTGTGAAACCTCTCTCACGGACGTTCGCGGACACCCGGAAATGAGGCATACCGGCATACCTGCATACCGGCGCAGTGTCATGAAACGGAGGGCACTTTGCATACACGAGAATCTAAGAAGTAGAGATTGTTTCATTTTGTTTCATGGCTCAGAGCTGTCCGACATTCTGTGTACCTCAAGAATATTGAGAGTGAGCAAATTATACTATATTATATTGTGTTATCCTATATTACATAATATATGTTATATATATATATATGTGATCAAGTGTGCATACGGCAAGTGGTACCTAGTTGGGGACCATTCATTGCTCCACTAGGTAAATATACACAATTTCATGTCCACATCCAGTTCGCTGTTCACTGTTTGAATCCCAAAAGGCAAATTGCGTTTCGAAGACGTTTTTGCTCTACAAATGGATTTGGATTGTATATTCCTTGCAGTATCATGTTGGTCCTTTGCACTTGCAGGTTGCCTTCTTCATCAGCATCCATCCCATGCGTCCGGCAGCCCAATGTGCATCGCGTGGCCGAAGCGTCTCAGGGCCCCGAGCAGAACGGGGCTTTCGTCACCCAGCGTGTCTGCCACATGAATATGGTCTTAAGGTCCGACGGAAAGAAAAGAAATGACCTTTTGGAGCCCCTAGTAGCAAACATTGCTCCTAGTAGTAAGGCCAGGAGCCCCTAGTAGCTTCTTGTTACTACTAGTAAGGCCCTTTGCTCCTAGTAGCGTCCTTGTTCCTAGTAGTAAGACGTAAGAAAGAAATGACCTTTTGCTGTTGGATGTGTGGAGCCCCATTCGTAGCGATGCCCTTGCTCCGTTAAGGCCAGGAGCCCCGAACGTACATTGGGTTCCCAACTCTTGGGCTCCGTACCCGATGGCCTCCCGGTCCACCAACTCTCGGGTCCCGGAGGATCCGATCCCGGAGGATCAGCCAAGCCTTTCACAGCCTTTCACGTGTGAAGAACGACCAAGAAAGAGGGACCGGTGCCGGGAAAGAGATTCCCAGTCCAATCTAGCAAAGATCATGTGAGATCCCGTTCCACACAAAAGGGCTGGCTGCTTCACCTCGAACTTTTGAGCTTCCAGCAAGTAGGAGGAGCTTTCCTTTTGGCTTCACTCAATTCCATCCCATTCAGCCTGAGGAGCTCTCGTAAGCCAAGAAGAAAGCTAGGCCTACCGTTGCTTCTAATTGTCGACCCTCACAAAAATGGACCGGGTTCACCCCGGACTCCTCCGGACTCCGAACCGCTGTCATGCTAGGACTGGGACCTGACCTGATTGGGACCTATCAGGACGTTCTGAAGAAATGTCCAGACTTGCCAGGTGCTCAAAACACGCCCTTAAATAGCATCCTCTTCAACGTGGAGATGTTGCTGATCTCCACTGCGGCCACTTTGGCGTGGTTTTTTTACCGGTTCCGGGGGGGGGGTCGATCAGCGAAATGCTGAAGACCGTGGTGTTGCTCTAGTGGCTACAATTCTGATGATTTTTCCTCTCTCCAAAATGCCATGGAGCAAGAAAGAAGCTATAGGAGCAAGTGCCTTACTAGTAGTAACAAGAAGCTAGTAGTACCGAAGAGGCTGGGCGAAAGGAACGACATGGAAGGCCCGAACCGTCGTTCTTCCGCTCCCTCCTCGCAGCCTATCCGACTGAAGAGTCTCATGTGGATGTCAATATACCTGGAGTCTCAGTTCGGGTATAAGTACCTGTTTTCATAGCGGTCATGTCCCATGTTCGAGGGTACGAACGACGTCAGGTCCAGACTTTGTTTGTCCCAACCGCGGATCCATCAGCCTCCCCCCTCGTCTCCACGTCACTGAAGTCATTGGGTGAAAGCGTCGTCTTGGGTGAAGTGACCAGGCTTGATCAGGGTGAAGAGAACAGGGACGCTACTAGGAGCAAAGGGCATCGCTACTAGGAGCAAGGACGCTACTAGGGGCTCCTGGCCTTACTACTAG